AGCCTCCAGGTGTTCGATAATGCCCTCGTGGAAAGTATTTTGAAGTGAAGTATTCTCAATCGTATATTAATGCCATTAACTATTTCCCTGCCCATAAATGCTTTTTTTATGTTTGCATTTATTTGTAAGCGATCTGCGTTACAACACGCCCGCTGTAGAGTTAATACGCACCCAAAAATCTTTAGTTTCAACGTATCAGGAAGAAAAAAAAGGTCCGTCTTATAATGTGGAGAATATGGCATGCATTCATCAGGGGGGGGGGGCGGGGGGGGGCACATTTGCCGACAAGACGTCATCAGTGCGAGGGCCGCCACACATTTCAAACCATTGTTGTTTGTGACACCATGCGGGGGGGGGTGTTGTCACGTGTTGTGTAGTGTCGGGGGCCGTGCTAAAGGCCACCAGGGGCCGGAAGCGGCCAGCGGGCCTTGCAGCGAAGAACACTGGTCTACACTAATTGAACAGTTAAGATGTATCCGTGCATACACTTGAATACGAATACCTATAAATACAGGGTGCTTCAAAAAAATGTTAACACTTCGGGGCCTTTTGCAACAATACAAATCTAGAACGCAACAAATGCCACAAGAAATGGGCCTCCGGGCTCTGGAGATCACCTGGAGAGGATTCCAGGCACGTGTTGACGATGATGACGAACAAGTGCAGACTTTTAAGTTATTAACATACATTTGTTATCATATTACAGTGTTGTCATCCGTTCCCTTCCCATTTAAAACGACAGTCCGGTATAAGTGTTAACATTTTTTTGCAGCACCCTGTATTTGCACGTGTTTCATCACCAATGCAGTGTCATCCTTAATGCACTGCGCTACGAGGCAGGCTACCCGAGTTGAATTCCCAGAACAGTGATATCCGAACTGGGCCTCCAATTCGGATATTCACGAGCACCTTGTGCGGCATTTACATCATCGGAACTGGGGGGACGAAGAGACGAACCAGGCCAGGGGTGATCTCAGCCCTGCCACTCACTTCCTCAAGCACCGATATTGGCCTGATTGTGTGCTCACAAAAAAGGTCATTTCTCAATACAGTAGGTCTGGCTGAGGCAATGCTGCAGCCTCTTTGGTTTTGTGTCTATGAAACCGGTTTCAAAATGTCAAAATGAAAAACTAAATTTTGACAGACGTATTCTCGGTTCTTTCGGTAAAGTCACGTTGAAGTCACGAAAGCTTTAAATAAAAATTTGACAGACGTGTCAACGTGAACTGGTTTTGTGAGTGCCCAGTTCCTTCTTTGTGTTTGCGTATTTAAACAACACAGTGCCACGCCAAGCAGAGTCAAAGCTGCCACTAGATTGTATACATACTTTAAATGTGATCAGATCGATGGGGTGGAGTTGTTGTTCTCATGGTTCGCGTGCCGCGCTATGAACCCAGCGACCAGAGATCAATTTGCCGGTCACGGCTAACATCAGCGACAAGTGACATCAGAACCGGTCCTTTCCGCCGCATTGACCAGCGTGGTGAAGTATAGTCTAACCCCCACCCCATGATCCACATGATGTGGAGAAGCCTTCATCCGTTGGTGCATTGGTAATAGCTGGTTATTTTTCTAAAGTGAATAAACGACCCACAATCATGCCATGAAATGCGAATAGACAATGTCCACAATGTTTCTTTCACGCATCTGTACGTGACGCATCAAAATCACGCGCTGCTTTTATAATTGCCAACTGATTGCACTTTTTTAGGAGCCTGCGGGAAGAGATATTTGGGTTTAGGTGCTACACATCATGGCCTGCTCAAGATAGTTCAGCATTACATTCAGTTTGTGCATGACCTTTTAATGGAGGTTCACACACTGGTAAATTTAGTATGACTGATTTTCCTATGAACTCTCATCATCATGATCGTCATGATCTATCCACCGCTGAATGAAAGGCTTCCCAAGCCTTCGCCACCTCTCACGATCTCACGATGAAAATTGCCTTCGGCCAAATCACCTTGAGCACTCACGATCTTATCGGATCTTTCGTGCTTGGATGGGTAACTGCCATGTGCCAACAGGCTGCCAAGAGGGTTTGGAGCTACGGGGATCGACCAATAGAGCTTTGGAGTGCAGTGCAGCAAAATCCATTGTTTTGTTATGCACTTCTATGCTTCCACATCTATGCTCCTATCATCAATCCATACTGACCAGCATGGTGAAGTATGACCAAATAATCCACATGACAATGCACTGGTGTGGAGAGGCCCTCATCCGTTTGGGGGTTTGACTAAGGGAGCTGTACACGTACTCGACAATAATGCCGATTATTTACTCCGAGAAAACCTCACCAGGTCTCGAGATCTCGTTTTTTGTTAAGGCGACTCCTGCATTGGAATATTTGGCTGATACCGTGAATGAGTTGAAATGTCAAATAAAAAGGGCCACCAAACGGCAAGCAGTACAAGGGCAATGCAAACACGAAATCATTGATAGCTTGAGTTAAGCATTGAAAACAATGTTACTCTTTTGCCAGCAGTAAGATATTGCATGATTTAAAAAAGGCTTGAGCCTTTCTGGTATAAAATACAGGTCTTCATAATAGAGGTGTTTGGGTTAGATCGCGTAAATATGACTAAGGTTTATCATGTAAACGAAACATGTCAATTCGTTACTAGTTTAGCACACCGGTGTGTTGGATAGTAAAGCCACAACTACAAATTGACTGCGATGGTTCGCTGGCAATTACAACCGGCCTCATCTGGCGACAGCCACAATGGTACTGTTTTTTGTCTAGCACTGCTGAGTCGAAGCTCTAAAAAGTAATATTTAAAAAAAACCTTTTCTTTAAACACGCTTTTTTTGAAATGTACTAGTAATGGAAGAACTCCACGACGTAAGGGGGACCGTGGTCAATTACAGCCAACGTCAGTTGAGCGTGGACAATTAGACCCAAGCCGAAACATAACATATAAAAAAGATTGTTTAAATATTTTTGTATCATAGACTATAGTATTGTCATCAGTATTACATAAGTATACCAAGTTTACAGTCGATACCACATTGGGAAGTGGATTAAAATTGAGTTACAAGATTTGAGGATACAACAACAACAGACCGTGAATTAAATGAACGCGTGTAAAAAGTGGTCGTCTCTGGTGCGGGCCAAACAGTTTCAAGGACGGTGTACGTATTATGAAAGCTGATGTGAATGTTCATTCACCACAGGTGTAATGCAGACGTAACACCTTGCCTGTTGGTGTCGGTTCGGTGTCTGAACATCAGAACACCATCTGTGTTTACGCCAGAATGGGTAAATCCCCGTCTCACCATTCAGTGTCTTGACAATGGCACAAAGGGTACCGTAGATGGCACGAACGAGTGTTTGTCTCGTGGGAGAAAACCGGAACGGCCAGAGAGGAACCCAACGGGACATTGTCTTTTCGTGGTCACCGTCGCAGCCCAGGCCCACAAACGCCTGACAACTCCCCCTGTGGTCGCCTACCCAAGTACTAAGCCAGGTTTTTAAACTCCGCTTAGCTTCTGAGATCTGACGATATTCGGTGCCTTTCTGGTGATCTGGCCATGGAGGGCATTTTGATGAAAATTATCACAGTAACAATGAGATACAGTGCGAGAATGTGTGCTGTGTATTTTCACGTCTTTGTTTCCAGCTGTCACAGACTCAGATAAGTTCAAATGACGTGTTTGCTGTATAATACACAAGTATGTTGCATGTTTACCGGGACTGTACTTCATGTTTCTAAAGAACGGGGTGGGGGGGTATATAGTTTTACTCACATTCTTCACATTACTGGCATAAACAATGCATTCTTCCTGCTTCCTTATTCAAGTATAAAAATATATAAAATGGCACCCTGGCAATATTTGCATGCAGTCTACCTGCGTATGTGGTATACGAGTGTATTACGCCCTGATGTCGTAAACACACAGACACATACGCTGTGACATAATGCTGTTCGTTGTCTCCACTAACATACAGTCCTTTTTTAAGTGGACACACAGAATGGAGTTGTGCCCATATGTCATATTGTTAGATTAATGCCGTCCGGCGCCGCAAAAGAGTCACTTGTAAACAAGCTGACAGCGTTGATTTGGCCCAAATTTACTCAGATTTGCTGGGGGGAAAAAAAAAACCCATCACAAGTTTGCCATCTATGTGTCCTGGGTTGTACATATCGTTACCTGCACCAGTTCGCACGTGGTAAAGAATAATGATAGAACAAACATCTCTACTCAAACGTAATTGGCCAAAGATCTTAAGCAAACACTGTTTTATACACATACATACATACAAGAAATACTCCAAATACTCAGTTGAGGTACACGCACATGTACAGTTCTTTTGTCAATCTACTACCAGGTGAGGTCCACACTTCACCGGGCTAGTCGGTGCCAGTTGTAGGCAAGCAGGATAGACATTGGAGCATAGCACAGGACATCAGTGGGGTGTTGTTGCACTGCCAACAGCGTCGCGGACTTTAAAGTATTTATAAAAAAAAACATATCAGCTGTCATTAGATGCGACACCTCAGCCCTTCCGTAGGCGATAAAACGAGTACCACTTTTTGGACAGCTAACAGTGGTTGTCACTTGGATACACTGATGCTCGCCATAGTAACGTGGACTTTACAAATGCTGGCGTAGGGCCACCGGTGGAGATGAACGCTACCCAAAGCTCGCTGGAGCCCAAGCAAGGAGGCATTTCAACGTTCATGTTATAACGTCAACGCAATGAGTGTTACACTTCATTTCAAATATATTGTAACGCAAGCCTGCTTATTGCAAGCTACTCATAACAAGACACCACTGACACATCTGAATGTAGTTTCTTGTTTGTTGATAACACACCGTGCGTGTGCAGACAAAAGGATGGCAGAAAATACAGGTGTGTGATGGAACTTATGATAGCCACAACTATTGTCTTGAAGTCATGTGTTTTTTTTTAAATGTTCCGTACCGTATAGTATATATAGCAAGCGTCGATATGAACTGTAACTTGAGAACACGTACCAATTGAAAACAATACTCACACTATCTTGACATGCTGCCAGTTAATCCAAACACGCGTCTTCGAGTGCGGCCCAAATTTCGGTGGCACGAACTTTAACAGCAATAGCAGTCGCGATACACATTGGACATCGACAAATGAGACGCTGGAAGCTGCTTGTTTTGGAACATGTTTGCGGAAAAAAAAGGAGCAAAAAATGTTCAGCAAAAGCCGCAACATGTGTGACCACGAAGGAAACCACTCTCCGTTGACGTCACGTGACTTGTTTACAATCGGGCGTGCATTTAAACGCGATAGCAATGACGGAATTAATTTATTAATTCTGAGAACGGTAAAATTCGCGCACGAAAATAACACCACCGCACCCGGGTTTTGTTGAGCAGTAACAAAACCTGCTGCTGTGTAAAGGGCCCAGCAGTTGGTCATGCCACTGCTGGATTAAGGCCCCCTCCCCCAAAGGACAGAGCTCTAGAGAGCACCTCCAGAATAGACAGTGTCTTGAGAGACCTTTACATTTTGGTCAGACGTCTTGGAAGAGGTGGGGAGCATCCACACAATTGGAGAAAAAAAAACATTTACCATCTCAGAATTGCTGATGACATCTAAACTAAACTAAACTCGAATAAAAACGATTTTATATGTTACCATGTAAGGCCAACTGAGCTTTATAGATCTTTTTTCAGAAGCGACCTTGCCCACAAATGGGCGCTCAACAAAGTGGCTTATCACGTGGACATTTAGAGCAGCCAAATACTCCAAACGCTACATAACGCCATTCGTTACATAGCCATGGCTATATGACGAATGTAAAAGAACTATCGAAAATTATTGAAGAACTTTTTAAAGGAGGATGCAAATTTGGGCTCAATATAAATATCAGCAAAAACAAGACATGCACAATACACTTACTAAATTATTGTAGATATCGGAGGAGGGGCACCGCTATGGCAGTTATTGAGGACAGACTGGGATCAAATGTTTCAAATACAGAGGCACACAAGAGCAGGATGGGATACTTTTTGAAACCTCGCCAAAGTGCCTGAATAATAACGTTTCAAGCGGATGTATATTGCCTGCTATTTATAATTAAAGAAAACAACCTGGAGAATGATCAATCATTGGAGAGGGGCATGCTTGGAATTATACTGAGAGACATATGCCTGTACGTATTTATGTATGTGCGTTGAACTTCTTTCGCACCGTACATAACCAAGCGTGTTAATTGGAGGTGCGGGGGGGGGGGGGGGGAAGAAACTAAACACAAAAAGCAGTTCTACAAAAAATACATTTCAATATCGATTTAAAAGTGTATAGTTCCAGTAGCTTCCTAATATCGGAAGGACGAGGGTTCCAGACAGCCACAGAAGCGCGCGCATCTGAAAGAGCACGGTATGCAGTGACCATCTTTGTTCTTGAGACAGAGAACCACCACAAGTTAAGAGACATCATCTTGACCATTAATAAAAACAAAAGTGGGCTGGGGCAGGACACGTGACTAGAAGGGATGACGGCCGTTGGTCGAGACTAACTATGGAGTAGGAGCCAAAGGAGGGAAACATGCCTCAGAGCACATCCACTGCAGCTGGTGTGCAGGATCGAGATGGATTGTTGCAGTGCATGGCCGTGAGGAATGGTCATGGTTAATAACATCCTTCCAATGATTGCTCAATTTGTATCCATCTTCTCGGATGAAGTTATGTCTATGTTTATATATCTGGATGGCTTCATGAAGAAACCTTTGATAGTAGCCGAAGGTTTGCAGAGTACCTTGGTCTCGGAAAAAATCAATATCATGAGAGCCCACAGCGTTATAGCAATGGTCAGCCACGGCGGGGGTATTAGTTGGAGAAACAGCTTTGCGAATAATGCGGTCCGAGTACCCATTCAGCTTGAGGGCCTTGTGTACGTGTTCCAGTTCACTGGCTAGGAGGTGTTGGTCGGAAATGCAGTTGGCCCCATGGTGTAGTGTTTTGATGAAGGAATTCTTCTTTTCCGGATGGTGGTAGGAATCAGGTTTCAGATAGGAATCTGTGTGGGTGGCTTTCCTGTAGACAGAGTGTCCCAACGAACCATCAGGTCTCTTCTAAAACAAAGCATCAGGAATGGTAGCTTACCATCCTTCTCCACTTCCATGGTGAATTTGATGGATGGGTGTATGGAATTAATGTGGTTGAGAAATTGGTTCAATGCTGGCAGGCCATGTGGCCAAATGATGAAAGTGTCATCTACATATCTCTTCCACAAGGAAGGACGTAGGGTGGATGTCTGGATGGCATCTGTTTCAAATTTCTCCATGAAAACATTCGCTATCACTAGTGATAAGGGGGAATCCATGGGGGTACCTTCATTTTGTTTGTAGAAACTACCATTCCAGGTGAAGTAAGTGTTTGTAAGGCAGTGCCTAACCAGAGTAGGAACATCAAGGTTCAGTCCCTGTTGGACTAAATCTTCAATTATTGCTAAGGTGTCAGGCACAGGAACCTTGGTGAACAGAGAAACTACATTAAAGCTGACGAGAAAATCATCTGGGGACAGTGAAATGCCCTTGATTAGAGAGACCAAGTGAGCTGAGTTATGTACTGCTGAGGTAGTCTTGCCAGTGAATGGAAGCAAGGAATCAGACAGAAAATGGGCCAGTTTGTAGGTAGGTGAGTTGATAGTGGAAACGATGGGCCGAAGTGGAGTGCCTTCTTTATGGATCTTAGGAAGACCATAGAATCTGGGTTGTCTAGTAGCAGAAGGTTTTAGGGCGAGCCGTTTGACTGGTTCGATTAGAGAAGTCGAACTGGTAATGATGTTGTTGGTTTTTATAGTCAGGCTATTAGTAGGATCTTTGTTGATTTTGGTATGTCATTTATCGGCCGACAAGGGCAATGCTACTGTCATCATGGATAAATCCACATACAACAACAAAATCCAGGACCTTCTTAATGATGGCAGTTACACGTAAATCAACAAAGATCCTACTAACAGCCTAACTACAAAAACCAACAATATCATTACCATTTGCACCTGTGGTGGGTGTTTCATTGGGGAAACGAAACGACATATCTCGGACCGTGTTTGCGAGCACAAGTCAGATCTGAAACATGGCAGAATCAATACCCCCGCCGTGGCTGACCATTGCTATAATGCTGTGGGCTCTCATGATAATGTTTTTTCCGAGACCAAGGTACTCTGCAAATCTTCGGGCTACTATCAAAGGTTTGTTCATGAAGCCATCCATTATAACAGGTCCCTGCAGGGTGGGCTGGTAGGACAAGTCTGTGCGGTGTCTATTGCTGATTTTACACCCAACAGCACGAGATTTCACTTCGTTAAAGTATTGAAAGGGGACGGACGGACGGACACAGTAATCTAATGCAGGCTGGTACACTCAGTTTACAACTTCGTTCCTACCAGTATAAACATAGACATAACTTCAACCGAGAAGATGGATACAAATTGAGCAATCTAAGGAATTATGTTATTGACCAGGTAAAACCTTAACTGCTTTATGGTGTTGCCTTCATTTCCTCATCTCAAGTTGCTTCAGCTCCCCACTCCCACCCCCACCCCCACACCCCCTCTCTATCTCTCCTCCCTTGCTCCTCCCCCCTCTCTTACCTCTATAGCTTCTTGTTACAGCAGCCCTTTTGCCCACTTCATCAATTGTTTCTTGCTGTGGTTGTCCCCACCTGATGACGGACGCTTTTGTCGCGCCCGAAATGTCGTGATTTAATTATTTTATTTTTCTACCTACGTGACTTCACCGAAAGAACCAAAGAGTATGGATCCCTGCAGTCACGAAAACTTCAAATCTAGACACACACTACAGTTTTGTTTTACATAATTTACATCGAGTCTGAGTCTGCCTACTACACGATGCACAGAAAAAAATGGGCATATTTATGTTAGGGAGAGAGAGAGAGACCGGTGGTCATAGGGAAATGAGGCCCATTGAGCTGCATTGCCCTTTTTCAGAAGCGACCTGGCCACAAATCATAGTTTAAAGGAGTGGCTTATCATGTGGAACTTTATAGCCGCCGATTAATCCAAACGCATGTTTCTAAATGTGGAGGGAAGTTCATGAGAGTTGGCGGCATTTCATAAGGTGAACTTCGAACCCATTCGAAAGAATTGAGACTGGTAAGGCAGAGAGTGAGAGGGCATTTTGCGGCTGGGTTCATGGGATCAATGCCAATAAAGATAATGTAAAATATATTTTCGATTGAAAGCTTTCGTGACTGCAGGGATTCATATTCTTGGTTCTTTCGGTAAAGTCACCACGTAGAAGGGAAACAATAAAATAATAAAAATATAAAACAATAAAATTCTCAAGACGTTTCGACTGTAACACAATCAATCATCACCTGATGATGATTGCTTGTGTTGCAGTCGAAACACCTGGAAATCCCTGGTGGTATTATTGTACTAACCAGGCGGCTCAAACCTACTTAGCTTCTGATAAACATATGAATGTCGGTGCGGTTTTTAGAATGTTTTTTGGAAGTAGGTAAAAACAAAATTCAAAGTAGATGACAGGGTCCAGTTTATGCGCATTCTAGATTCACGCGCATTCAAGATCACCAGCTGTAACAGGATACTAACGTAAATAACCTCATGATGTGTTCGGAGTTAGCAATGGGCATCATCACAGCAACCACCTTGTAAATGGACTCTCTCCTCCATATAAATCGCAGTGTCCCGTATAAATCGCAGTGTCCCGTATATATGGGACCGCTTTGGTGTGTTTTTTTTCTGCCATTATCAGGATAATTAAAGCAAAGGCGTTTTTTATTAAAGCATATTTGTTCCCAATGTTTCACGTCAAGCACGTGTGGTTATTGTAGAGTTAATGCCTAGTGACGGGCATGAAAGGCGTCTATTTCGTGTGTGAGCATGTTAAACACCCTCTGAATATTATTTCCTCGCTCGTGTCGTGTTTATCGGTGTGCTCCCAGCACTTATATATTTTTTATGAATCACACGCGTGTCCTAGTCTGAACACGTTTTTCAAGATTTGCGGCTAAAAATATATTTTGGAGGAAATATATACTGTACATATACAGTGAGAGAAAAAAGTATTTCATCCCCTGCTGATTTTGTACGTTTGCCCACTGACAAAGAAATGATCAGTCTATAATGTAATGGTAGGTTTATTTGAACAGTGAGAGAGAATAACAACAACTAAATCCAGAAAAACGCATGTCAAAAATGTTATAAATTGATTTGCATTTGAATGAGGGAAATAAGTATTTGACCCCCTCTCAATCAGAAAGAT